ATTCTGATGATGATTTGGATGATGATGATGATGATGATCATGATGATGATGATGATAATCATTTGGTTGAGGATGATGATGACGATGATGGAGATGTTGCTTCGGATGATGATCATGTTCATGATCATGATAATGATGATGAGGATGATGATGATGAGGACGATGGTGATGCTGATGATACCGATTGTGCTGCTGATGATGGTGATTACGATTCGGATGAGGATGATGATGATTATTCGCATGGTGATGATGATTTTGATGATGATAATGACGCCGACGCTGATGATCATGTTGCCGCGGATGATGGTGATGATGATGGTGATGAGGATGATTATGAGGATGATTCGGAAGATGATGGTCATGGTGATGATGATGTTGACAATGATGTTGTTGATGAGGATGATTATGATGTTGATTCCGTGTATGAAGACGATGATGATGATAAACATGATGATGACGATGATGTTGATGATGATGATCATTTTGATAATGATGATGATAATGATGATGATGATGATGATGATTGTGATGATGATGATGGTGGTGATGATAATGATGACATTGATGATGTTGATGAGTATGAGGATGATGATGATAATGATTCGGATGTTGATGATGATGATTCGGATGATGATGCTGATGATGATAATGAGGATTATTCGGATTACGTTGATGATGGTGATGATGTTTATACGGATGACGACGATGATGATGATGATGACGAGGATGATTATTCGGATGATGATGACGATGATTCGAATGATGATGGTGATGATTGGGATAATGATGATGATGATTCGCTTGATGTTCTGATGATGATGATGATGAATGGGATGAAGTTTAATTCGGACCACGATGATGATGATGATGATGATGATGATGATGATGACAATGATGATGTTGATGATGATGATGAGGATGATTCGGAAGATGATGATGTTGATTCGCATGATGATGATGATGATGATGATGACAATGTTGATGATGATCATAACGACGATGATTCGGATGATGTTGCTGATTATGATGATGATTATTCGGATGATGACAATGATGATGATCATGATGATGAGTCGAATGATGAGGATCAGGATGATGATGATGATGATGGCGATTCGAATTATGATGATGATGACTCGCATGATGATCCTGATAATGATGATAATGAGTCGGATGATGATAATTCGGAACATGATAATGAAGTTGACGTTGATGATGATGGCGATGATGATGATGATGATGATGATGGTGATGATGATTCGGATGATAATGATGATTAGGATGTTTCGGATAATGATTCGAATGATGATGATGATGATTATGATTCGGATGTGGATGTTGATGATGATTCGGATGGTGAGGATGATGTTGATGATGATGATGATACGAATGATCATGATCATCATTCGCATTATGCTGATGAGGATGATCATGATGACAAAAATGACGATGATAATGATGATGATTATGATGATGATGATGATGGTGACGTTTTGGATGATGATGATAATGTTGATGTTGTCGATGATTCGCATCATGTTGCTGATTCGGTTAATGATGATGATGCTGATGATGTTGATGATCATGATGATGATGCTGATGATGATGATGATGATGATTCGAATGATGATGATGATGATGATGATGGTGATGAAGATGATGATGATGAATCGGATTACGCTGACGATGAAGATGATGTTGATGATGATGATGATGCTGATGATGATTATGACACTCATGATATAGATTATGATGAGCATGATGATCATGATGATTGAGATGATGATGATGATGACACGCATGATGAATATGATTACGATCATGACGGTGATGATGATTCGGATGATGATGATCATGATCATGATCATGATGATGATGATGATGATGATGATAATGATGGAGATGATGATGAGGATCCGGAAGATGATGATGATGGTTCGCATTGAGGTGATAATAATGATGATGATGAGCTGGATGATGATAATTCGGATAATGATGATGATGATGATGATGATGATGAAGACGTTGCTGATGGTGGTGATGACGATGATGATGATGATGATGACGATGATGATGCTGATGATGATGATGATGATGATGTTGATGATTATTCGGATGATGATGATTCGTATGATGATGATGATGATCATGATGATGATGATCATGATGATGATGATGATGATAATGATTCGGATGAAGATGAGGATGATGTTGATGATGTCGATTCGGATGTAGATGATCATGATGATCATGATGATGATGATGATTATGATTCGGATGTGGATGTTGATGATTATTCGGATGGTGAGGATGATGTTGATGATGATGATGATTTTTCGGATGATGGCGATGATGATGATGATGATGATTCGAAAGATGACGATCATCATTCGGATGATAATGATGGCGATTCGAATGATGATGATGATGATTCGGATGATGATGATGATGACTCGCTTGATGATGCTGATGATGATGATAATGAGTCGGTTCATGATAAATCTGATCATGATGACGATGATGATGATGATGGTGACGATGATGGTGATGATGATGATGGTGATGATGATGATGATTTTTCGGATGACGATGATGATGATGATGATGATGATGATGATGATGATGATGATTCGAATGTCGATGATCATGATGATGACGATGATGATTCGGATTATGCTTATGATGGGGATTATCATGAAGATGATGATCATTCGGATGATGATGATGATGAAGTTGATTCGGATTTTCATTCGGATGATGATGACGATGACGATGATAATGATGCTTCGAATGATGATGATGCTGATCAACGTGATGATGATGCCGATGTTGATGTTCATGATGTTAGAGATGACGATGATGATGATGATGATGATGATGATGATGATGTTCATGATGATGCTGATGATGATGATGATGACGATGATGATTATGATTCTGATGTGGATGATTATGATGATTCGGATGGTGATGATGATTTTGATGATAATGATGACGACGCTGATGATGATGATGACGATGATGCTGATGACGATTATGATGGTGACAATGATGATTATAATGTTGGTTCGGATGATGAAGATGATGATCATGATGATCATGATGATGTCGATGATGTTCACAATGATGATGATGATGATGATGATGATGATGATGATGGTGATAATGATGATGATGATGATG